ATGTGTACTACTGTTTCATGAGAAACTATTTGTTCTGTAAGCCTTCACCTGAAGTACAATAAAAAGAAAAAAAAGTTTAGCAAACTGAATCCAGGACTACATTAAAAATATATATATCATGATGAAGTTGATTTCATCCTGGGAAAACAGTTATCATTAGAAAATAAACTAATTTATTTCATTACACTAACAACTTAAAGGAGGAACGTCATTATCATTAAAACACAGAAAAGGTGTTTACAAAAAGCACCATCAATTTGTGGTTAAAAAAAAAAGCTCTTAGTAAAATAGGAATAGAACAGTCCTAATCTGCTAAGGGCTCAGCTGCTAACCGAAAGGTCTGCAGTTAGAATCCACCAACTACTCTTCGGGAGAAAGACGTGGCAGTCTGCTTCCGTAAAGATTTACAGCCTTGGAAACCACCCTATGGAGCAGTACTACTCTGTCTTATAGGGTCGCTAGAGTCAGTGGAAGTGAGTTTGGTTTATTTTTTTTTTTTTTGGTAATCTGCTAAGGGATAGCTTCCAAAAAAAAAAAAACAACCCTACAGCAAACATTATAAATGATTTTAAAATACTGACTTTTTTTCCCTTATCAATCAGACAGAAACCATGCAGTATCAGACAGGTGTAACTACTGTGACCATTCCTTTTCACTACTGTGATGGTGCTCTTAGCCAATGCAGAAAAGCAAGAAAAGAAACAAAACGTATAAGAAGTGAAAATGAAAAATAAATACTGTAATTATTTACAGACCTCACGTTATGCATCTCTTCATTCGTACCTTTTTTGGTATAATAAAACTGTAATAGAAGGAAAATATATGTGTATATATATACATACCTACCTATGTATGTTTACAATCCAGCAATCTCACTCCTAGGTATTTACCCAAGAGCACAAAAAGATCTGTACGCAAGTGTTCATAGAAACTTTATTCAAAATAGCTAAAAACTGAAAAAAGCCCAGACGTTTATCAAAAGAACAGATAAACTGAGGTAAAGTCATGAAACAGAATACTACTAAGCAGTAAAAGGGAACAAATCACTGATAAACACAACATCAACGAACCTCAAAAACATTATACTAAGTGAAAGATGCCTTACTCAAAATAGTACTTACTATATGATTCCATTTACATCTTTCATTTGTATGCAATAACCAAGAGTAATCTACAACAGAAAAAAATCACAACACCGGTTGCCTGGCATTGAGGAAGCAAGAGGCACAAAAGAAGTTTCTGGGATGATGGTAATGTTCTATGTCTTGACAGAGGTTTGAGTTATACAAGTATATGCATTTCTCAATACTCATCAAACGGTACCCTTAAAATTGTGCATTTCATTGTATGCAAATTTTACCCTGTCATGGACTGGAGCCCTGGTGGTGCGCAGTGGTTAACAGCTCAACTGCTAACCAAGAGGTCAGCAGTTCAATTCCACCAGCCACTCCTTGGAAACACTATGGGGTAGTTCTACTCTGTCCCGTAGGGTCACTATGGGTCGGAATTGACTCGACAGCAATCGGTATTTTTTTACTTTGTCATTGACCGAATTGTGTCCCCCAGAAATGTGTGTCAACTTGGCTGGGCCATGATTCCCAGTATCATGTGATTGTCCTCCATATGGTGATCTAACGTATTTATCCTATGTGTTGCAAACCCTAATCTCTATGATATTAATGAGGCAGATTAGAGGACGTTATGTTAATGAAGCAGGACACAATCTACAGGATTAGGTTGTATCTTGAGTCCATCTCTTTTGGGATATAAAAGAGAGAAGTGAGCAGAAAGCAGAGGGACCTCATACCACCAAGAAAGAAGAACCGGGAGCGGAGCACGTCCTTTGGACCCGGGGTCCCTGCGCTGAGAAGCTCCTAGACCGGGGAAGACTGATGGCAAGGACCTTCCCCAAGAGCCGACAGAGAGAGAAAGGCTTCCCCTGGAGCTGGCACCCTGAATTTGGACTTCCAGCCTCCTAAACTGTGAGAGAATAGATTTCTCTTTGTTAACACCATCCACTTGTGGTATTTCTGTTATAGCAGCACTAGATATCTAAGATACCCCTAAAAAAATTTATAAATATTGGACTAATCAATGTTATACAAGTGAAAATATTCAGAAATAAAGTGTACTGATGTTTGCAACATATTTTGAAATACAGCAAAAAACTAAGATGAATTAATGAATGGGTAAGGCAGATATGTGATAAAACAAATAGAACAAAATGATACTTGTAGGAGCTAGATGACGTGCCTATGGATATTTAGGCTGTACAAGTCTTTCAACTTTTCAGTATTTTCATAATGAAATGTTAAAAAAAAGTTTTAATTATGAGTTACTACCAAAATAGTATACACCAGCTCAATAATAATAACAACAGCTGCTACTAGCACCATTAACTAAGCGACTACCATGTGGGAAGCATCATGCTGGATACTCACATATGTTGTATCTAATCCTCACAGCAATCCTGCAAAGTAAGTATTATTATCCCCATTTTCCAGATGGGGGAACTAGAAAGTAATTTGTCCAACCTCATCCAACTAGTAAATGGTAAAGGCAGAATTCTAAACCCAAGTCTGACTCCAAAGGAGGTGCTCATTCCATTACACCACACTACCTTAACAATGAACTCTAAGGATCTGGCCTAATTACTTTATTATACTGCAGTGAAATTTTGTGCTATTGACTAATAGCAGAAATAATGGGTTAATGGCAGAGCTTTAGAAATCTGTTACACTGTCATTCCACTGTAATGGAATAGGCTATAACACTGCTGCTATTCTTGTCTCCTGTCAACAGTATTATGAATGTTTTCAATATCAGACATAATGCCACAACTATGACACACTTCTTTCAAACAGAATTCTTTACCTCATTTCTCGTTCTTCATGTTGAGTGATAAGGTTGCTATAAAAATTCTCCAGTGTCACTTTGGTCATAGTCACCCTTTCCTTTGTGTGGTTACTCATGGATGAGCAAGGTGTTGAGCCTGTCATTGCCATGGCTGCTAAAGCAAAGAAAAGGAGAGGTATTAGTTTTGGAATTAGAATCTATTAGTTACGCACTCTCCTACCCTACTGATAGGGATGTTAAGTTGGTACAAGTTTTCTGGAGGACAAACAGGTAATATATAACAAAAGCAAGACAAACTGAATTCTAGTACTTGGTGAAAATGGTTATACATTACATCCTCTGACCCAGAAATCTCAGCCCTGGGTACAAAGTCTAGAGAAATTCTCACACAGGTGCGTAAGCAGACATTACAGAGAGGATGTTCCTTATGCCATCACTTGTGGTATGGGGTGTTGGAGGCAATTCAGTAAGGAAATTAATAAATAAAATGTATATACAGCCATCAGAAGCAACTATACCTACCTACAAACAACATGAATATACCTTTAAAACAAATTGTTGCCTTTTTAAAAAGGAAAAGATTACCATACCGTATGTGGACATTAAGAATATATAATACAGATATAGTAAAATTCTTTACCATGTAGGAATCTACCCTGAAGAAATCAGAGGCCCACAAGGATTCACACACAGGGTGTTCAATGCAGCACTGTTAATGACAAAGGAAAACTGGAAATAATTTGAATATACAAGAGAGGACTGATTAATCATGAAAGAGACCTATAATGAAATACTGAGCAGACAATTAAAATGTTAAAATTTTTAATGTCAGGGGAAATGTTTCCAATTTAAGTGAAAAGAGCAGATTATAAACCAGGATGTACAATTTCAATCTTATGTGTGTACTATCTGTGTATAATATCACAATTATCAGAAATATATATATCAAAATGCCATTAGTGGTTTAACTCTAGGCAGTGACAATGCAATAGATAATTTTATTCTTGTTTGTGCTTTTTCATGTTTTCTCTATTTTCTTCACTGAGCATGTACTACTACCAATAAGTTACCAATAACTTTTAAGTTTACAATTTCTATTAATTAAAAAAAAAAAAACCATGGCAAAAAATACTGATCTACAGGTATATACATGTTCTAACACAAGCCAATGATATTTGATATGTTTACTGTTTATTTTAATTTACAAGTTCAAATAAAGACCTATAATGGAAACAATATCACAAAGAAAAACTCGAATCATAATTCTAGTGATGGAAGAAAGCATAAAAGCAGAGACCCAAATGAAATCCTGATAAAAGCTATAACATGGATGAAACTTTAAAACATGCTGACATCAATTGGTCCCAACTCACCTGGAGCAAAGGAGAATGAAGAACACCAAAGACACAAGGAAAGTATTAGCCCAACAGACAGAAAGGGCCACATAAACCAGAGACTCCATCAGCCTCAGACCAGAACTAGATGGTGCCCGGCTACCACCAATGACCACCCTGACAGGGAACACAACAGAGAGTCCCTGATGGAGCAAGAGAAAAGTGGGGTGCAGAACTCAAATTCTAGTAAAAAGACCAGACTTAATGGTTTGACTGAGACTGGAGGAATCCCAGAAGACACGGCCCCCAGACTCTGTTAGCCCAAAACTAAGACCATTCCTAAGGCCAACTCTTCAGACAAAGAATAGACTGGACTATGGGACATAAAATGATACTCGTGAAGAGTGTGCTTCTTAGCTCACGTAGATACATGAGACTAAATGGGCAGCTCCTGTCCAGAGGCAAGATGAGAAGGCAAAAAGGGACAGGAGCTGGTTGAACAGACACGGGAAATCTGGTGTGGAAGGAAGAATGTGCTGTCACAGTATAGGGAGAGCAACTAGGGTCACAAAACAATGTGTGTATAAATTTTTGTATGAGAGACTAACTTGAATTGTAAACTTTCACTTAAAGCACAATTAAAAAAAAATGCTGAGTGAAATAAATCAATCACAAAAGGACAACCATTTATGATTCCACTTATATGAAACTGCTCCACAGAGTTTCCAAGGGGCACCTGGTGGATTCGAACTGCCAACCTTTTGGTTAACAGATGTAGCTCTTAACCACTATGCCACCAGGGTTTCCATGAAATATCTAGAATAGGCAAATATATAGAGACCAAAGTTTGTTAGTGGTTACCTCGGGTGGGAGGAATGGGGAAAGAGGGAGTCACTGCTCAGGGGGCAATGAGCTTCTATTAAGGGTAAAGAAAAAAATCTGGAAACAGATAGTGCTGATGGTTACACAACATGATGAATGAATTAATGTCACTGAATTCATTGTACATGTTGAAATGGCAAACGTTAATTATATACTTAACCAGTTGCTGTCAAATCAATTGACTCACGGCGACCCCATGTGCATCAGAGTAAAACTGTCCTCCACAGGGTTTTCAATCACTGATTTTTACGAAGCAGATCACCAGACCTTTCTTCCAAAGTACCTGTGGGGGAACTTGAACTGCCAACCTTTCAGTTAGCAGCTGAGCACGTTAACCATGTGCTTCACCCAGGGACTCCCATACATATACTTAACACAATAAAATAAAAAATAAAAAACAAGGGACCCTACCACATAAACCAGAGACTTCATCAGCCTGAGACCAGAAGAACTAGATGGTGCCTCACTACCACAATAACTGCCCTGACAGGGAACACAACAGAGAGTCCCTGATGGAGCAAGAGAAAAGTGGGGTGCGAAACTCAACTTCTAGTAGAAAGACCAGACTTAATGGTTTGACTGAGACTGGAGGGACCCCAGAAGACATGGCTCCCGGACTCTCTGTTAGCCTAAAACTAAAACCATTCCCGAGCCGAACTCTTCAGACAAAGATTAGACTGGACTATGGGACATAAAATGATACTTGTGAAGAGTGTGCTTCTTAGCTCAAGTAGATACATGAGACTAAGTGGGCAGCTCCTGTCCAGAGGCAAGATGAGAAGGCAAAAAGGGACAGGAGCTGGTTGAATAGCCATGGGAAATGTGAGGTGGAAAGGAAGAATGTGCGTCACAGTATAGGGAGAGCAACTAGGGTCACAAAACAATGTATGTATGAATTTTTGTATGAGAGACTAACTTGAATTGTAAACTTTCACTTAAAGCACAACAATAAAAAAAAATAAGGGACCCTAACTCCCTTGTTTTACATATGAAAAAACTGACAGCAATGAGTTTAGGTTGCTTATAGAACTTCATTTTTCCCTAAATTTAACATCTCATTTTTCCCCAGATATTTCTGCCAACCTATATTGTTGCACTTGACCAGACTGTTCATCAACCCTGACTTCCTCCAGCATTGGCAATAAAAACCAAACAGCATCTGTTGCCGAAGAGTTGATTCCGACTCATAGGACCTTACAGGACAGAGTAGAACGGTCCCATAGAGTTTCCTAGGCTGTAATCTTTACAGGAGCAGATTACCACATCTTTCTCCCATGGAGCGGCTGGTGGGTCAGATCTGCCAACCTTTCGGTTGGCAGCCGAGCGCTTAACCACTGAGCCACGAAGGCATTCAGGCAAAAAAAAATCCCTTCCAAAAAAAGAAATAATCCTTTCAAAGCAAAGAGCCAGAATCAAGGCTCTACTTCAGAATCAAGTATTTTGATTCATGATGTGCCAAAATGATTCGTAATCACAAATTCAAGACACTGCATTCAAAGCCACCTTACTATAAAATATCACTATTTTTTATGAGGAAGTTTGGCAAACTCAAATGTTTTTAGAATATCAGTAGACGGAAGAATTTTTTTTTAAAAAAACAGTTTGGTTTATGAAGCTTGGGTGTGGTTCCTTATTTGTCAGCCTGTACCCCCTCCACCCACAATGAAAACCACATGCACTCTAAGTGCGTTTGATGAAGAAATTTTCAAACCAAATTTAAAAACAAGTCAGAGGCAAGTGAGAGCTTTGTAATCCTTCCTTGTATGATAGTTTCTGGAGACCCTTTACATATACATATACTTCAGTTGTTAAAAGGTAATTTCAGAAGGCAGAGAGAGTAAGGAGCTGGTTGAATGTTCATGGGGAACCAGGGGCGGAGGGGAGAAGCGTGCTGTCGCAGAATGGGGTGAGCGGTTGGGGTCTCACAACAATGTATGTTTAAAAAAAAAAATTCTGTATGGAAGACTAACTTGAAATGTAAACTTCATTTAATTACATCAATTAAAAAAAAGAAAAAAAAATAATTTCAGTTGTTAAAATGTAAATATATATAACAACTGAAATTACTTCAACGGAAAAATAAAACAACAAAATGAGATTATTTGCACCATATATTAGGCCAACAAATTCTCTAAAAGAGTGGTTTTCAACCTTCACATACAGACTCTAATGTTGTGGCAAAGACTACACTGTCCTTCCCTCTGACTTTTTTTCAAACTTCCTCTTCCTCCTCTCATAAAAGGTTTAATCTAATTCTAACATCCTTTAATCAAAAGACACAATTACTATTGCCCCGTAGTAATTCACAGGTTTACTGGACCAAACAAGTACTTTTTATGACAGGGCTTTCCCTCACGCTTTTGATAATTCATCCTTCATGCCCTGACCTACAGGTCACTGGAGGCCATTCCCCTATTGGTTTCATTCTTCTTCAACTCTGCAGAATTAGGAAATAATAGGTGAGAAATGTTTAAAACTTAAAAAATTTTAACAAAAAGAGACAGATGTGATCCTCATAAAAGTCAGGGGTAGGGATCACAAACACAAAAGTAGGTCAAATGAAAACCATTGTTTTATTCAATCTAGATAGTTATGACTGGTCTTCTGCTTGACTTTACAATTGTACTCTGTTATCTCTATAAACACCCTTGCCCTCACCAATACTTTATTGCTTTGTGATTGAAAATCTAATATTTTATTTGGAGAATTCAGCATTGGAGCCAAGACTCAAGAGTCACAATCTCCTCTACTGAACTATAAACCACTGGAAAGCAAGCATTCTGTCTTATACTCTTTTTACTTTCCTTATCCCAACTCATGCACAGTGTCATGCACTTCATAAGCACCTTATAAAAATATATTTACCAGAGAAAGAACTTATTTTTGATCTCCACTGTAGGAGTTGAGAGTATGTATGTGTGATGAGGGGTAGGGTTGTATGGAGTTGGAGGATAAAGTTCTTGTTCTCTTATCAGGAAGCTGATAACTAATGTTTGGGGTAGGAAGAAGAGCCTGTTATTGTGGTGGTTGTTTTATGTTTGGAGAAACCACATCTACTGCCTGCGTAAATCAGAGGCAAGGTGAGCTGAAAGGAAGAGGAGGCACAGGGCCGACTTCATTCCAACCTTCCGCTGTACACTTCAAAAAGAACACGTTTCTCTTTGTATCTTTTAGTTATTTCATAGTGCAAGTGAGGTATCTGGGCTCTCTACTAGCCGTTCTGCAAACCACCTTCGACACTATCCTCTAAATCCTTATGGACTCTTCCCTCTCCTCTGGCTCTGTTCCTTTTCCACTGCCTTCTTAAGAGTCTTCACTGCACTTTCCTGTGCTCTGAAGATTATCCGAAGCCCAGTATCCTAAGACTAACCAGGGGAGGGCGGAACACTCGTTGTAAGTACCAGACCCCAAAGTGGGCTTTCCACATCTCTGCCTGACTCCCAGATTCCTAGGATCTCTGCTCCCAGGTTCCTAAATCCCAGAAAAGGGAAGAGGAGGTGGAAATTGGTGATGATTGTGATCCCGGAGGAGTCTGAGCGGTGAAAGCGAGCAGACAAAGCTGGCGACATGGGAAGGAGAGGAGAGGCTGGCTCCCCGCCCCAACTGCACGGAGGAAAAGAAAGGACTGCGTGGGAAAATGTGGAGAAGCCCGACAAGGGGCGTCTAGAGACTGAGAGAAGAAGAAATGACAGGAGGATGAGGAGACGGGCCTCACGGTCGACAGGACACGGCTAAAAAGAGGGCGCCAGCGAGAAGGGTCATAGGGTCGCCATGAGTTGGAATCGACTCGACGGCAACGAGTTCGGTTTCTGTTTTGTTTCTTAGCGAGAAGGGATCACGGGAAGGGGAGATGAAGGAAAAAGCCTGAGGTGGAGTTGAAGCAAACACAGCAAGACACTTACCAGATCCCCGGGGAGGCAGGGCTGCGGGCAGCCCAGACGCCGGTCCCGCCAGCGGTCTCGACGTGAGAACAGGCGAAGCCCCGGCGGCTGCAGCGGCCGGCAAGAGAAGAAGGAACGCGTGACGGGATCTGGAATAGGGACCAAACAACCGTTGCGGGTGAGGACAACAGGAAGCGAACCAACTGCCGGAAAAGACGGCAAGGCGGAGGGACCAAGGTAGCCCGGTCCGCCGCGACGGAGAAGGGCTGCCGCGGCAGCCAGGAGCCGGAGTCGCGCATGCGCGACTTTCCGGCGGCGCAGTCCGGATTGCGGGCCTGCGCTTGCGCGGCCCCGCCCTACCCATCCAGGGAACCTCCTCCTCCGTCTCAAGCAGGCAAGTGTGAGGTTTAGGGCAGTCTCTGGGCGCGGTGGGCTGGGAAGAGGTTCCTCTTGATTTTTTGTTTTAAACTTTTTATTTTGAAATAATTATAGACTCACAGGAAGTTGCAGAATTAGTGCAGACCTCAAACCCATCACCCACCCAGCTTCCCTCTATGTCTTACATAACTATACTACCCTCTCAAAACCGGGAAATTGACATTGGCAAAATACAATTAGCTAGATTATAGCCCTCCCTCGTATTTAACGAGTTTTGCGTGCATTCATTTGTGTGTGGGTGTGTATGTGTGTAAGTCTATGAAATTTTATCACGTGTATGGTTTTATACCCCCATTGATTTTGGCCGTTGTAGCAATTGGTCCGCTGAAGACCTTGGCCCTACCTACTTTACCTAAAAGTAGGGATTAACACACTTTACCTGCGATCAGGTGAGCTCTCTTATGTTTGGACATCTGTCACCCTGAGGGCATCCCAGTGTGCATAGAAGAACTTGCTTTTCAAGGCCACCCAACAGCTTAGTATGTACCATCTCTTGGGGTAAAAAGGTCCTCAGGTTGACTAGCCTTTGGGTGCTCACTCATTCCTTGAAAATGGAGCACAGTGCCACCTACCAGGAAGTGTCAGCCTCCTGGAAACAAAGATGAGTAAGACATGGTCCCTGTCTGCCTTCAAAGGGGCCACGTAGGGAAAGAAATAAGCTTGTGCACAAATCATTTGGGTATTTTGTGATGCTATGGTGCCTCATGCTCTGGTAACTGTGTGTGAGACCATAGGGCTTGATTTTTATCCTTCAGGTTTGGGGTCCCAGGCTTTGTTTCCTTAATGGTCTTAAAACAGAGGCCTGTCTTGACTGCTCTCATCTTTCTAGACTTCAAAGCCCCAGTTTCCTTTTGTTTAGCCTCATATAGAAATCTCTTCACCCTTCATTCTCTTTGTCCAGAGGCCCTTCTCCCCCAAGGCCTTTTGACAGAGTTCTACCATCCTGAACAACTTAATAACAGTGCAAGATGCTTGTGTAGTGCTTTACAGTTTACAAACCCTTTTCACTCGTTTAATCTCAGTTGATCCTCACAACTCTTTGGCACGTCACATATGCTGAGGTTTTAGAGATAAAGTAGCTGACACTCGGAATTCTCACAGCTAGTAAGCTGAGTAAGTGTGGAGCACTGATGGCCCAGTGGTTAACAGCTCAGCTGCTAACCAAAAGGTCAACAGTCAAATCCACCAGTCGCTCACTGAAAACAGTATGTGGCAGTTCTACTCAAAGTAACCTATCAAAATCAACTCAGTGGTAATGGGTTTGGGCTTTTTTTTTTTTTTTTTGGTTTAGTAAGCTGAGTAACCAAGCAGGGAACTCCATTTCCTGATTGCAAATCCAATGTTATCTCTGCTTTTCCTCTTTCCTTCCTCCAAAGCCCAGCTCAAACCTTATATTTTCCTTGGAGCCTTCTCAGTTTCAGAAGAAGTATTTCACTTTCTCCCCTCTACACGACTAACCCAAAGACTGGAGGTTCAAACCCAATCAGTGGCACCACAGAAAAAGGACCTGATGACAATATGTGTACTAACTGTTTAATGAGAAACTATTTTGTTCTGTAAACCTTCATCTAAAGTGAGAATAGCAGCACAACTGGAAGAACATATCAACGTCACTGAATTGACATGTAGAAATTTTTAAAATGGTGTATCTTTGGCTATGTATATTTTCAGCAACAAAAAAAGGTCCTCCAAGGCTGAGAAGGGTGCGTGTTGATATGTCATGGGGTTGTTAAACAATGTCATAAAACAATATGTGTACTGACTGTTTAATGAGAAAATATTTGTTCTGTAAACCTTCACCTAAAGTACAGTAAAAAAAATATAAAAAAAGAAGGGCTAATGATCTGCTTCCATAAAGGTTACAGCCAAGATAACCCTATGGAGCAGTTCTATGCTGTAACATAAGTCTCCATGAGTTGGAATTGACTAGAGGGCAATGGTTTTCTTTTCCTTTTTTTTTTTTTTCTGTATACCTATATTAAACTGTCTGTACCCTACTTTGATTAACACCAAACTTTTCTTCAAAACAGTCCAGCCAGAATATGCTAGACCGAAAGGGTAACATTTTACTATGATACCAGTAAGTGTAGTGGACATTTGTCATTCTTTTTGGCCAGGCAACATTTGAATCCCCTTCATGTGTGTAAGGGAATCTCCTAATTTATGAAGCAGAGCCCACTTCCCATTGACAAAACTTCCGGATATCCTCTCTCCTAGACTCCCTTGCAGCTAGGGTATGGGCACAAAACCTAGGCGCTACCTACCGATCATACCCACCCTAGACTTTGAAGTGGAATCTAGGATGATCCGACCCTGCACTTAACACAACTCAGTCTCATTTGCCTCACTCTACTCTTGCTCCTAACAGATCCTGCCTTTATTTTAAAATTTGATATTTTCTTAATGATAGATTTTTTTGCATTAATTTTAATTTGTTGACATATTGCACTAAAATGTTATTTATCTTGATTACTGAGTTGTTTGGTGCCTCCTTAAATCTTACAACCAAGGTGAGTATCGCTTCCCTCACTGTAGTCTCAGCCCTGGAAAGATTACCCTGAATCCATTCTGGCAAGGTTGGTGGCTGTTCCATACTGTTTCTAGAAGTTTATGTAGCCGTGGCTTCGGTGGGAGATTCCACCATCAGTGGTATTGACTATATCAGCTTCAAGGTCTGGGCACAGGGGTGGGGACCATAGTTCCTTCATTGGACTGGTTCTACAATGTGACTTCAGGCCTTGCCCTGCGTGCTTTTCACTTAGCCTGGCAATCTGGCTATCCCCGGCTTTTTTTTCTCTTCTTCTTCTTCAATATCATTTTAATTGGAGTCCCTGGATAGTGCAAACAGTTAATGCACTCTCCTGCCACCTAGAAGTGCCTTAGAAAAAAAGGCCTGGAGAGCTACTACCAAAAAATCAGCCATTGAAAGCCCTATGGAGGAGGCGGGGCCAAGATGGAGGAGTAGTCAGATGCTACCAGTGGACTCTCTTACAACAAAGACCCCAGAAAACTGAATCAATTATATATGGCAATCTGGGAGCGCTGAAAATCAAAGCCAGAGTTAAGGAACCAGACTTAGTGTCAGGGGGAGGGAGAGACAGTTCAGAAGGAGCAAGGAGTTGCCAGACCTGACCCGGCGATAGCCTGAGTCCTTCAGGCCTCATCAGCTCGGACGTTAGCAGTAAGGCACGCAAGCAGCGCTGCTTGGGAGGTGCGTTATCTGCACTGGGAGAGACCCAGCGCCAGAGAGTCTACATGGCCACCCAGAACAAGTGAGAAGCAGCCCTCATCGGCGAAAGACAAGTACTTGCATACTGCCTACCGCGCGGATCAAAAACACCCCCCTTAGGGAAAAAACTCTCTCCCATTTACCTCCCTGCTCCCTGCTCTGAACTGGGTCCCGGACCGGCTTCAGCAATTGCCGAATCCCCTGGACCGCAAGTAGGATCTGTCACATGCCCAGAACCATTCTCCCTGCCTTGGAGAGTAAACAAATTAACAAATGGGAAAAAAAAACCTGCCAGCTCCCCTAACCCAGGAACCCAGGATAGGCACAGCTCCTTTGCCTAGGCAAAAGGCATAAGGGATCCATGGACTTTGAGTGCCTTTCCACCTGCATAGACTTGTGTGGGCCCCTTTCAACAGCACAGGTGTTCATTACCACAGTACAACAGGGTATAT